TAAGAAGGAAATATTTGTTCGAGTTAAAACTTTTAGGATCTTCTATGGACCATGAAACCAATAGATGGGAAGAATTTCAGGTCGAAACTGTGTCATTCACAGGGGGAAATGCTTTTCAATTTTGGGATTTTGAAAATCCCAAAAATCCGCCTTTTCCCCCTTGAAGCTGAACCTATGGTTTCGCATGGATCAGTCACGAGAAAATTCCTGTAAAGCTCTGACTGGCGATGATAGCACCACCCTTCTTCCATACAATAGGAGAGACACAAGCAACAGAAATTTCGGCTGTGAACTATGAAGCCCTAAAGTCTTATGAAGTCTCATAGAGTTCTCTGAAATTTTCTACTTATTTTAGCAAAAATGTGAACTTTTATTGTTTTCATCAATCTCATGGAAAAGCCTGAACTAATTTGAAGTTAAGATACATCATAGTTGCGAATGGGATGAATATGGCTTGAGCTGTGTGTAACGAATTTTGTTTGATGATAAATGGATAGTTTATATTCGTTGCTGCCGCAGCTTTTTTTTATTTTTTATTTGTGATCACAAAGAGAAACTGGAAGAGTAGCGTTACCGCTATCCACGGTGTATAAGATGTTAGTTACACTACTCCACTCTGTAACTTTCTGGTTCTAATTACATTCCAGTTCTGATATATAATACAATGCACTCGCTTTATATACGTGCACACGAGAGAGAGATGAATAGAAAAAGATATAATAGGCATATGCGCATTACGTAGGTTATGTCAAAAGACGTAATCAGGTTACACAAAAGTAGATGGATAACATTAAGAAGTATAACAGATTGACTGATGAGAGTCACGAGTTATGCAAGGCCTATGCCATATTGCATAACACTCATCATAATGTATTCCTCCTTCCTAATACCGGATCAGAGGATATTCCAAAAAAATGGAAACGCAAATATATGAACAATAAAGGATGCCCATGCATTATTGGCACACTGTGGCTGCAACCAAAATGCATATCAACAGCAGTTTCAATCTTTCACATCTATACTCATTCGCAATTGAATTATAAGTTTTCTTCAGCTCTCATATAATGTTGAAGTTTCTCGAAATCATTTGAGGTCTTAAAGTCCGCTGTTTCTCTTTTTGCGATAAACTGCGACTTTTTATTAAAACGAAACCAATCGACCTTAATTCAAGATTATACCATTGGATTTAAGGCAGATTCAAATGTTAGCAGTTTTTTATAGAATTAATCCCGATGCATTATAGAGTATCAGGGAACAGGTAACTAAATATCATCACCTTTGATTTAATTTACGATTAACTTTTTAATCAAGCAGCATTTAGTTCACTGATTAAGTAAACTATGTAGCTTATAAGTAAATATCTTTAAGCAGTGATAAACTTTTGAGAAGAGACTTGTGTCATAGCATAGACTCTTCTGAGTCCAGACAAGATACCTCATCATTCGTGTTCTTGTTGTTTTTTTTCATTCATGAGCATTTCATTCAGTTTCAGACTTACTTTGGGATGTGTGGTGTGCGCTTACTGACACTGGCGTCACTGAAACACTGATGGCCACTGTATCACTGATCTCGGGTGCACTGATGCCATCAGCGTCACTTGTACGTGAGGTACACTGACTTCACTAACACATTGATGTTGATTTCCATTAACTGCAATTCGTAAGCGGATTATTATGACATCCTCCAGTTAAAATATTACAATACGTAGGACGTTCTTATTGGATGAGAGACTATATCATTTGAATAGTTTATCAAATGTATTTCTTGTATTTCTTGCAGCCGATTCTAGTGAATATTAAATTCTATTAAAGAACAAGCGAAGTATTATTTTTTATCACTATATGATATACGCTGTATTCAGTCGATCATTTAGATCAGTAGTAATTCTTTGGAGAGCATATGGAGACATGTTTTCAATTTTAAAAGGACTTGCTAAAACAATGTTAAGCACACCGGTCTCTTCAGTACGAAGGGAAACTTGCAAGGGGGAAACGGCGGATTCCCAGGATTCCGAATCCCATGGGAATCCGATATACGTCCTAGAAATGACTAATATAGACGTCTCAAAAACACTTAAAATATAACTTTTGCTAACACATAACAAAATCATTTCATTCATTTAATATTTTGAAGCCCATTCCTTTGAGAGAGCCATGTAGTGGTTTGGGAAATAAGCGTGTGGATGTGAATGCTTCCTGGTGATGGAAGGAAAACGTTGATCCTCACCCTCATCAATATCGTAAACTGAATATTCTGGACTATAGAAGGTACTGCTTTCTAACGAAATAATGTGACCCAAATCGTGACATCTAGTATGATTATTTATACAGTTCTATTAGGTGAGAATCTCAAACGCTTTGCACAATGACGCTCATATTGGTTCATAGAAGGGTGAATCGGACCACAAC